ATCTTTATTGACTTTTTGTTTCATATTTTTGTTCCGTTCTTTGATATCTTTGTTACCATCATCAAGAGGCCAGTAAAAACGTCATCATAGTTATCATAATCTCTTTACCCGTATCCATAGTAACCGTAAATGTCATTCCTGTCATTACTCTCATTAATGTCGTTGGAATCATCTTTGATGCCAGCCGCATCAGTCGTAATGTCAGCCGCGACAGCCGCAGAAGCCGCAAAAGCAGCTTCACAACAACAGTATCATCGTCGTTATCACATTACATTGCTACATCGTTATTATTGTTGCGGTTAGTGTTACTATTATTATTATTATTATCATTATCATTATTATTATTATTATCATTATTATTATTATTATTGTTATTATTATTATTATTAATCCGAAATGCTTGAAAAAAGCCGCAGAGTGTAGTTGTGGATTACATAATGTCATAAGCAACAATAAATAGCAACTACAATCACAATAAAAATATGTCGTCGTTGTTTTTGTTGTTGTTGTTGTGGTTGTTGTTGATGGTGATGTTGTTGTTGATGATGGTGATGTTGTTGTTGAGGATGATGATAATGTTGTTGTTGTCGTTGTTGTTGTTGTTGTTGTTTACGATGATGTTGATGTTGTTGTCGATGATTATATTGTTGTTGTAGTTGATGATAATGATGATGATGTTGTTGTCGATGGTGATGTTGTTTGTTATTGTTGTTTACGATGATGTTGTTGTCGATAGTTATGTTGTTGTTACTGATGATGATGATGATGAAGATGATGATGATGATGTGGTTGATGATGACGTCATTTTTGCTGTTGTTACACATACGTGACTTTCTGAACGTGCGTTGCACGGTCCTGAATTGAAAAATTTTCCCCCCAAACTCAATCGTCGAACTCCCCATAATTTATTAACCTCTACCACCACCACCACCATCACCCTCATCACCACCGTCATCATTACCATCATCACCACTACCATTATCACCACCACCATTATCATCACCAAATCGACATGATCATCATCATTATCACTACCATTATCACCACTACCATTATCATCACCAAATCGACATCATCATCATCATCATCATCATCACTACCATTGCATCATCATCATAACTCACATCTCCGACTGTATTGAGAAGCTTCGTGACCACGTCCACCCCTTGCTCCCACCTATGCACGTTGGCCACCAGGTCATCATAGGTCAAGGTCACCGGTCTGCTACCACTTGACCACACCTGGTGATGATGATGATGATGATGATGGTGATAATGATGACGATGGTGATGATGATGACGATGGTGATGATAGTGGTGATGGTGACGATGGTGATGATGATGATGATGACGATGATGATGACGATGATGATGATATAGGTTCTGATAAAGAAGAAAGACAGAAAGACAAATGAGACTGAGAGTTAAACGATGATTTGCCATTTGCAGTCAACGCATTCGTTTTCGTTATCATCATAAAATATCACCATTATCATCTTCATCATCATCATCTTCATCATCATCATTGTCATTTTTGACCTTGGTTTTGTCCCCGGCCCTTATGACGTAATCGTCCGGGAAGATGAAGAGAGGTTGATCCAATCCATCCACTGTCCGCTTCAGCATCCACCCACCCAAACTTTCATCCTTTAGTGATTGAATGACAATTTTATTTTTATCATTGACGTCATCACCACCATCAACACCACAGCCCAGACAAACATCATCATCAGTATCATGATTACAAAGTTAGCTCAGTCGGTAGAAGCGCCGGTCTCGTGCGTTGGGTGTGGTCATCGTTATCATCATCGTCGTCAGCACCACCACTATCTCTAGAATCATCATCATCATCGTCATCGTCATCATCATAACCAACACCACCACCACCACCACTATCTCTAGAATCATCATCGTCCGTCATCATTATCATCATCACTACTTTTCTGCCGGTGTTCTCGAGGGCAATGAACCGACCGTCCGGGTCACACTCTCCAATGTTGACTGGGCCCTTCGAACTCCTCTGCAAACTCGTCTTGGCCGTGCCTTCCCCTTTGTGAAGGAAGCCAAATTCATCTTCTTAATAATAACAATAATAATAATAATAACAATTATGATGATAATAATAACTACAAGAATAATATTATTAGTGATGATGATGGTGGTGGTGATAATTATTATTTAATTGTATAATTATTAGTGATGATGATGGTGATGATGGTGATAATTATTATTTAATTGTGTAATTGTAATAAAATAATTTACTGGGGCGATCCCTCTCCCTAGCAGCATCATCTCTCTCTCCTCCGTATCTCTCCACTTCTGTTTCCTCTTCTATCTGCTCGCCTACAAAAAAGGTTTTTCAAACTTTTATACAATTTTTTTTCTCAAATTCAAAATAATTTTTATTAGTTTTTAATTTAAAATTCGGTTTAATTCAAATTAAGAATTAATTAAGTTTAATTAAAAATTTAATTTAACCTAACCAAATTTAATTGGTTTTGATTTAATTTAATTTAAAATGGTTTAATCAAAATTTTTAATTTTTCAAATCAAAAAACATTTTTCAGTGACTTTTCGATAAATGAAAAAAAAAGTTTCAATGATTTCCTACCCGGGGTAGCGTAAGATCTTCTATCAGTCCTCGACGAGATTGGGGGTTCAATGACCGAAATGGATCTCCCTGCACCCCCCCTTGGCCCACCCCCACCTCCCTCTCTCACACTTGAACTTCTACCGCCGGAATAATCTCTCTCTCTACTTCCGCTTCCGTCTCTTTCTCTACTTCCGCTCCCGCCGCGCTCGTAACCACTACGTCCGCCGCTACCGCTTCTAGGGTAATCACGATCTCTATCTCTCTCTCTTTCTCTATCTCTTTCTCTATCTCTCTCTCTTTCTCGTTCTCTATCTCTATCTCTCTCTCTTTCTCTATCTCGTTCTCTCTCTCGCTCTCTCTCCCTGCTTAGATCTCTCTCCCTATCAGTCTCTCTGTCCTTGAAGCTGACACCCCCGCGTCCGCCGGTCTCGATGACCGTCTTGTCTGTCGTTCGGATGGTCGTCAGTCTGTGGTGATGATGATGATGGTGACGATGGTGATAATGATGGCGTGGTGGTGGTGGTGATAATGAAGATGATGGTGACGATGATGGTGGTCAGTTTGTGGTCGTTGTGACGATGACTATGGTGGAATGTTCATCTTATGAGAAAGAAGTTAAAAATAAACACAAGGACACACACAAAACAAACCAAATACAAACAAACATACATACATACATACAATACAAACAAAAAACCATACAAAACCTATTTTCTTCAGATTCTAGAAGCTTCCTATATGCGGCGATCTCCAACTCGAGACCCAGCTTGGCGTGCATGATGCTCTGCAACTCCTGTAGGATTGATTCCAACTCCGCTCTCAACTTTGCAACCTTTGCCAGGAAATAATTATAATAGATATTAATTAATAATAAGAATTATAATTGATATTAGTAGTGGTAACAGTAGTAGTAGTAGTAGCAGCATCAGTAGTAGCAGCAGTAGTAGTAGTAGCAGCAGTAACCTCAACTTTCAGATCGTTGTTCTCCGTCTCCCACTCCCTCTCCCTCTCGTCCCTTGTCCTCCTCATCTGGTCCAACTCTCTCAGCAAGCTTTGGTTCTGTTTTGTAAAGAAGTTTATTTCATTATTATTCTCTCTTTTTCTCAGCTGAAACAAACAGGCATACAAAAAACAAACATACAGAGAAACATGCACACAAATCTGCATCATACATACAAACATACAAAAAATCTGCAACATACATACAAACAAACACATACAAACAAACACATACAAACAAACACCTTTCCGTCTAGATCGGATATTTTATCATAGAGTTCTGTCATCTGCGTTTTCATTCTCGTCGTCACCTCCCTACTACGTTCGACGTCTGCTGATGGCTTTTTTGACGTTTCGCTCCTGTACTCCTGGATCTATGTTGTGCAAATTAAGTAATAATAATTCATTAGTTGACAAACTAGAACATTTATTTAGCGCAATTTATACAGTCTAAATAAAAATTATCTAACTAAAAAAAAATAAATAAAATTTATACAATTACCTTTATATAACATCAGATTCTCTTCTCCTATCAACAATCTTATCATCTTAAACCAACGAAACAACCAACCGGCTAACAAATTTGCTAGTCAATTAGTCAATCAATCAATCAATCAGTCAGTCAATCAATCGATCGATCGATCAATCAGTCAGTCAGTCAGTCAGTCAGTCAGTCAGTCAGTCAGTCAGTCAGTCAGTCAGTCAGTCAGTCAGTCAGTCAGTCAGTCAGTCAGTCAGTCAGTCAGTCAGTCAGTCAGTCAGTCAGTCAGTCAGTCAGTCAGTCAGTCAATCAATCAATCAACCAACCAACCAATCGATCGATCGATCGATATATAGCACACAACACACCTTTAGATTATAGAAAGATTCCAGTTCTCCTCGCATGTTATCCAACTTATCATCGTACACTTGTTGGATCTCTCTCAGAGCTTGACCCATCTCGTTTTTCCAGAATTCTCGATTCTCAGTCGTTGTGTCCCTATAGACCAGGGCAGCTAACTCTTTCATTTCCTATAGAGGTTTTGGTAGTTGCGGGTGTTTGCCTTTGTCGGTGTTGTAAAGATCATACAAAAAAATTATTAATTCAATTATTTAGAATTGTAAGATTATATTTTTTAATCACAACAGCAATTCCAAGTGCTTGCCGAAGCAGGCCTCGTTCTCTCTCTTAGTTTATCCAAAAAAAAAATTTTTTTTCAATTTATTTGTTCTGGAATCAAATTCTTAACTATTTATTGAATTAAATATTGAAGAAAGAATTGTTATCATAATTATTAGAACATTTCATATGAAATAATTGGTAAATAATTTATTTCAATAAAATACTTTCTCAGCCTACCTGCTCGTGGACGGCCCTCATGAATTCAATCTCGTCTTCCAGGGTCTGCCTCCTACTCTCTGCGTCGATATGTTGTATCGTCTCGTTATCGAGATCCTGCCAAAGTCATTTTGAGTGATGGTTTTACTTTTTTTTATCATCACTCATCATCATTTATCATTTTTTTATCATCACTCATCAGAAAACCGAGTCTCTGGACGGTAAACGATGATTGATTGATTGATGATTGATTGATGATTGATTGATGATTGATTGATGATTGATTGATGATTGATTGATTGATTGATTGATTGATCACTCATTATCATCATCATTCTGTTTAAAGACTCTTCATCATGAGTTTCTCATTAATATCAACATCTGCATTCAGCCTGGGTAAATATATAAGTGAATCATCTGCATCACACACACTCACACACGCACACGCACACATTGCAGGGAGCTCTTAGCTATCAAACTCATGCACCTCAACCAACTATCGCATCATTCCACTAACAATTCGAGCTCTGTTGAGAGAGTCAGTGAGGTGGTTGATCTGTCTCCTGTCCCTCTCTTTATCATTCTCGAAACCTTCCACTCTCCTACGCAGCAGGTTTATTTCGGCCTCGTAATCAGACAGCTGCTGATTCTGCTTCTCTACTTTCTCGCGATCTGCTAGGCCAAGTCGGTTCGCTTCGTCCAATCTTTGTTGGCAGTTTCAGTTTTTGTTTATAATAATGGCAGTAAATCATGTTCTAAGCAATTATATAAGACAGTTAATAAAATAACAATTTGATAAAAGATTGCTGGAATAATATTTCAACAAGAATATTGTTTGAGATTCCTGTAGAGAGTTTAAAGTAATTGAAAACAATCGAACCTGGCTCTCAGTTCGGCTACTTGGTCTTCCAGAGCAGCATTTCTGACTTCGAGTTTGGCTCTGTCTCTCTCGTGGTCGTCAAGCAGCCTCCTTGCTTCGGTCAGTTCAGTTTGGTACATGGTCTTCACTGCGCTTGTTTCCTTGCCCCAATTCGCTTTCAACTTCTCAAGTTCGTCGGCCAGCTTTTTATTTTGTGCTTCTAAGAAGCGAACCTTCTCGATGTAGCTGGCGAATCTTTCGTTCAAATCCTGCATGTCTCTTTTTTCTTTCTCCCTCGTTACTCTCATGGAATTCATTTCAGAGTTGGTCACGTGAGCATATGAACCTGCCGGAAGTCCAGGTCCACCGAGACCAGATGCTCCGTAACGTCTTTCGATTGTTCGGCTAACTCGTTGACCGCCGCTACCTCCCCCACCGTAACTTGAGAGGGAAGAAGGATAAGCCCCGTAAGATGACCTCTGGATGACAATGTTTCGAGAGGTCATCAATGGACGGTACACAGTTTTCTCGATTTCCTTTTCAAAGCGACCGACGCTACCACTGCCGCCCCCAGCCCCTCCTCTGCCTTCCGAGCTTCCACCGCGATTGTATTCTCTCCCCTCAGATCTTTCTTCACTGCGGCTGTAGCGAGATTCGTACCTGGAGTCTGCAGTCGAACCACCTCTATCTCTCTCTCGCTCGATTTCTCGTTCGCGGTCCCTGAGAAGTTGATCTAGCTCGCGTTCTCTGTCTCTGTCCGTCATGCCGAACCGTTCCCTCTCACTTCCACCACCAGCGAATCTGTCGCCACCACCTCCGCTGCTGCTGCTTGTGAAGCGACGTGTTTCGACCACACTTGACGACGACATCGTTGCAAATTAGTTCTCAAACCTCCAGAGATGATATCTCCTACCTGGCGTGAGTTATTTGCATTTAGAAACAACTTTTGTGACATTCAATTGATTAAAAACTTTCACTTGCACGTTTGTAAAAACTTAATTAATTCTTAATTAACTTAATTAACTTAATTAAATTTAATTCTCTCATTCGAAATGACAATTTAAAACGTTTATTTAAAAATTAATAAAATTGAGAAGCACCTGTGAAGATGGACAGAAACTGACTCGGATAGAAGAGAGTTCAAAGTTCAACCTCCAACTTACCTCTTTCAAAATTGAAAGCAATCAGTAAGAAGGAACCTCTAGACGAACCAATCTACTCGGCGTTTGAA